CACTGCTCACGTCACACACCAAACCCAAACAACGCCAGCCCACAAGCAAGACAGCAAGCAACAGAACGAGCAGCGTTGCTGTGGATGGATGCGGTTACTGAAAATTGGCCATCATTTGATACGTTTTTCTGCAACCATGGGCGGCAAGCGCCTGCTGCGATTGCGCGAACCGCCAAAGACCGAGCGCACCAACCTCTTCCAACAGCAGGGTGGTGGCAGCCGTGGTGCTGGTGAATCATCAAGCACGAAGCAGCAGCAGCAGGAAGAACGGCCACAACAACAACAACAACAACAACAACAACAACAACAACAACAACAACAACAACAACAACAACAACAACAACAACCACAACAACAACAACAACAACAACAACAACAACAACAACCACAACAACAACAACAACTTAAACAACAACAACAACAACAACAAGGACAGAGCCATGACGATGGTGCATTGGCACCCAAGAGAGCAAAGGACACAACGACGCATGGCAAATCGGGCGACACAGCACGCTGGTCACCGAGAAGACACACACGCAAGGGTGGGAACAGCGCTGGCGCTGATGCTTATGACGACGACGACGATGATGACGGTGTCGCTGATGAAGTCATGCTGCGCGTGCTGGATGAAGTGGACATGTCCGGTGTCACCGTTGAGATGGGCAGTGACGGTGTGATGCGCATCTCGGAGAACTTGGACGACAGCGGTCCACGTCCAGCCACCACCACCGCCACCGGCGCTGCCACACCCTCCTCCACCGCACAAGACAGGCAGCCACCGGACTTGCAGAGTATCGTGAATGCCATCCCGCCAACGACGGCAGAGTCCATCTCGCGGTTGGCAGCCACGCAATCTGGCACAACAGCAGGGGTAGGAGTGACCAAGACGGGCCAGGGCAATGCGGGTGCACCTGCTGCATCTTCGGTTTCCGAGACGGCACCAGCAACCACAACCACCACAGCAACAGCAACAGCAGCATCAACAACGACAGCAGCAACGGCAACGACAGCATCAACGACAACCACAACACCAACAGCCACCACGGCAACGACAGCATCAACATCGTCAGCATCATCAGCAACAGCGGCGGCCTTGAACGAGGAGAGCGAGCGGACACGGCAGCTGCTGAATGGTCTGGCCAAGCAGGCTGTCGGCCCAAACTTTGTGCGCGTGGACGTTCGGCAGAAAGGAAACCCCGTCCTCCAACACATCCGCAACGTGCCTTGGCAGTACTGCGAGCAGAAGGCGGACTTTGTCATGGGCAAGCGCACGTGCGGGCTGTTCCTGAGTCTACGGTACCACTTGCTCCACCCAGAGTACATACACGGCCGCATCAGGGAGGTTGGCCGCCTGTACCAGGTGCGCGTGCTGCTGGTGCTCGTGGACGTGCGTGACAGCCAGCCTGTGCTGATGGACCTGACAAAGCTGTGCATGGTGCACAACTACACGCTGATGCTTGGCTGGTCCAACAAGGAAGTGGGGCGGTACGTCGAAACGTACAAGGCGTACGAGAACAAGTCTGCAGATGCGCTGCAGCAGACCACGGCACCAGACTACCTGTCGCAGGTCGTGGCGTGCCTCACGTCTGTGCGCTCCGTCAACAAAACAGACGCCATCACGCTGCTGTCTGCGTTTGGGAGCGTGCGTGGCATTGCGACGGCGAGCGAGGACGATATTCGTCTCTGTCCCGGTTTTGGCGACAAGAAGGTGCAGAAGCTCAAGTCTGTCTTGACGCAGCCGTTCGTCAACCCAAACAGAGCACGCCCCTCTCGCTTCAAGTGATACGTGTGTGTGTGTGTGTGTGTGTGTGTGTGTGTGTGTGTGTGTGTGTGTGTGTGTGTGTGTGAGTGAGTTGTGTGAGTTGTGTGTGTGTGTTGTGTGTCCTGTCATTGGCGTGCACGTAGTGTGTACCTGCATATGGTGTGTTGACTTCAAGCTGTAATCTACTGGCCGAGAACATGAGGTGGGCGAGGAGGGGACCCAGAATAAACGAACTGTTGTGACGTGTAACGACACTGATGCGTTGGCGGTCGAAGCAACATGCACGGAGGCGCCATATGATGACGCCCAGAGAGAAACGGGGGCGAGACAAACGGAGACATAGAGTGGCAGACAGAGACATTGAGTGGCAGATAGAAAGACAGACAGACACAGGCACACAGACAGACACAGACAGACAGACACAGACACAGGCACACAGACAGACAGACAGACAGACACACATACACACACATACACACACATACACACACTTACATACACATACATACACATACATACACATGCATACACACAGACACAGACACACACACAGACACGCGGCGTCATCTCCTGCGTGATCTGATTGCGCTCTCAAGTTGGCCGGCGCGGTCCTCGCTCGCCTTCAACTGCGCCTGCAGCGACACGAGCGTGTCCGACAGTGCAGCAATCTGACGGGAATGTGCGGGGGTGTGGGAGCAAGGTGTAAAAGCGGTTGTGGTGATGAGATTGTGAGCTGGA